TACGAGGCTTATTCTATTGGGTATTCAGATGATGTTGTCCAGGTCCGAACTTTTGAAGCAATCGATCCATGCTTCAAAAAGATGAATCAATATCTAATAGAATTTGTAATTATTCCATCAATTGTAGATAAGACTCAATGTAAGAAATGTGTAAGAGAGATTGACTTTGAGCGGGATATAGTTGTTTCTGAATCGGAGTGTGCTTTGCATTTACTGTTGAATGAAAATACAAAGACCCACTCATCTATCTGGCGAAGATAGGGACTATTGATCCATGATTAAAAGTCCCTTAGCACTTACCGATAGTTCCCCGGTGTGATGTTACAGAGCAGATATACCAGAAGATGATGTCTGAGATAAAGTACCTACTACCGAATTTGTTTCCTTATAAATTTTAGATATAAGATACTTCCTGCGATTTATAATAGATAATATTTCCTTTACTCAAACAAATGGAGCCATGGAAAGTTCCTTTCTTGTAGAGGCATATCAGCTATCATCTTGTTATATATATATATATATATATATATATATATATGTATAGTACTTGCTCTAAACCCAACTCGTCACATTTGTGGATCCCTTGCAAAAGCCCAACTCCCTTTCTTCCTGCTAATTACAAAATTGAAACCTAATTATCTGTCACCCAATTCTATTTCCCTTCCCCTCTTTTATTTTGTCTCTACCCCACCCACAATCACCATCTCTATTTCCACGTGTTTATTTCCTTCAACTTCAAACTACAGACACTAAAGAAGACATTCTATTTTTTGTTTTCTTTTTCGTTGAACCACGTCGGTACCTACAATTGTAGTTATGAATAATAATGAATACATAGACCAGTACTTAAGACTTACTCATGAACAAATACATTAATAACATGTCATCAACGAAATTACCAAATATGCAAGTTTGCAATGATTTTGATCTAAAATTAAAAGACCTCTGGAGATGATTGGGAGATCACTAAAGTTTTCATAGACTTCTGGGTTACCTGATGATGCCTCCCCAACCAAGATGTCCGCTATAACATTAATAGTCTCTTTATAGAAATGTATAATCGAATAGCCCCTTTTCCATATAATGCTTTGAGCTTCTTGTAACTAAAAAAAATAAAAATAAAAGTACCCCCAAAAGAATGGCCCTCCATTAGCAGAAAAATTAGCTAACACTTGATTATCTGTTTGTATCTCCAATCTTACACGGTTAAACTGCTCACGTTTTCAAATTCCATAGAGTATTCCATGAATCTCAACCATCAAGCTATCACCTTAATTAAGATATCTGGATTCAACATAGATAAAATTCACATCTTTTCCAAGAATCAAAAATCCATAAACCAAATCCATATTTATACAAAGAACCATCAATATTAAGAACAAAAGAATCTGGGATTTGGTAAACTTTATACTTCCGTTGCTTATGGCCACACTTAACACTTACAAAAATCTTTTCCAAGAAATCTTTTACCGCATTATTTTTCGCAAAAGGCTGTTGAATATATAGCTTGCTTTCGATATGTATTATGACTGCTCAAATAATATTCTAGTTATTCAACATTTCCATCAAATAAATTTTTTTATAGCTTTCCATAACTCCCACCAAAAGAAGATAGGAAATATTTTTTTCAGAGATGTCTTTGGTGAAGAGAAGCTTCCCGTTAACCATAAGGAAGTTAAGATGGTTTGCAAGTCACCATTGATCTTTGTATTGGCTATGGAGTATTTTGGCCCGACTTTTTAAGTAGGAAGCCTAGAGGACGGGTTTCAAATTCTATCCCTTATGAAAAAACTCCAAATCATCAACCTCAGCTTTGCAGATGACCTACTTATCCTTTGTCAAGCTGATACTTACACTGTCAGGACAATTAAAGATGTACTTGAACACTTTGCTGCAACCACATGCCTACCAGTGAACAATCATAAATTCAGCCTCTATATTGAGGGAGTGCAAGAAGATCTGAAAAATGAAATTATGAGATTTAAAATATGTATGTTTTCATTAAACTATCTTGGTGTGCCTTTATCTCCTACTGCATAGGTTCAAAGAGATTGCCAATAACTAGTGGAAAAGATTACTGCTAGGATCAATTGTTGGTCAGCACGATACTTATCCTATGCAGGAAGACTTGTGCTAGTTAATCCGTGCTCATGAACTTACACTCTTACTGGTCATGCATGTTTATGATTCCAAAAAATGTTATAGCTCAAGTTGAAAGATGTTGCCAAGAATTCTTACTGTGGAAGAAAGAATCAGGAAAATATAGCTCTATGGTCTCTTGGACTGGTATTTGTTTACAGAAAAATGAAGGAGGCTTGCACATAAAACTGTTTGGTTTATGGAATAAGGCACTTCTCGATGGGGCAGAGCCAAGCTCTGAACACTAGGTGGGGTAAAATATATAATGCCTATAAATTATTCTCTGTTCTAAAATAAAATAGTCTGCATAATAAATTACACATTTAATGAAAATTAAAGCTGCATTAAGAATTTTTCCGCCGAATCAAAATTATTTTGTAGTTTTTGTTTATGCCCCTTGTCTTTTGTATTTTTGCTGGGGCAAAAATGAAGAAGACTAACAAAATCAATAAATTTAGGGGTAAATCAAGGGTAATGAGAAAAAATCCAGCTGGGGCAATTGCCCCATCTTAGCTGTACTCGGCTCTGCCCTTGACATGGCAATAAATAAGAAAAGTATATGGATCATATGAATCCATATGGACTACCTAAAAAGAGAAGTATATGGGAGTATCAAGCACCAAATGATTTAAGTTGGCTTTGAAAGAAGCGCATCAAAATCAAAGAGGTTTTGAAAGATGGTTCGAAGAATGGTGAATGGATTGGTGATAAAAGGAAGTCTTACAATGCAAAAAGAGGTTATAAATAAATTATTGGAGATAAAAGGAAATACAGGGCAGCGGAGATAATTTGGAATCCCTATAACTTGCCAAACCATAGCTTCATTTGCTAGCTAGCTTTGAAGGGAAGATTATGGACTCTTGATAGACTTAGAAAATTGAATTTGCTGAGAGGGCCAGTGGCATATGAACTTGTGCAGGGCCTGTTGGAAGCACTGATCACTGGTTTTTCGATTGCAACTACTCACAGAGCTTATTGATGAAGGTTCTAAACTAGTTGCAGCTTAAGATAACAGTGAATTGCCTTAGAGATAAAGTTTCAAGGCTACTGAAGATTTGGGGATTCAAGAAACTGAGGAGGAGAACTCTGTTTGTCGTGATCAATGCAGCAATATATCACATTTGGATGGAACAAAATGGAAGAAAATTTGAGAAACAACATAGGACCATAGATGACATATTCATGAGTATACCAAAAAAAAAAAAAAAACATGAAAAATTCTAAATGTTTGTAAAGAAGGTAGTAGTAATGACATTAGATTCCATCACCAGTTGGGAATTAGAGTTTGATGAATTTTTGTTATAGTGAGTAGTGTTGTACATAAAGCAGGCTCAATGGAATTAATTAACAACAACAACATACCCAGTATATTCCCGACTCAGTTGGGGTCTGGGGGGTCAAGATGTATGCAGTTTTACGATGTATTTCAATACAGAAAGACTGTTTAAGTAGTACGATCCAAGATGCATTGGTGCATTAATATATTAATTTCCGGCGACTTCACCAAATTAAGAAGCATCGGAATTTAAATAAGCCATTTTGATCTAATTTATTATTAGTAAAAAGCTGAAAAAATTGTCAATAATGACTCTTCCGGCTCTCATGTTTACCAAAAAAAAAACATTGGATTAAAGTTTTGTTAGACTTCAAAAATAGGAAAACAAATCAACCAACAAAAATTTTGATCAGATCATTTGTTTCGTTAATTGTTTTCTAATAACAAATATATTTAGATGATAGAATATTGGCAGATAAATCTTCTTCTTTGGACACAAATTAAAAAAAAAGGACAAAGTTTATAAAAGAAAAAAAAATGTTACACGAAATTTTGATCATAGAATAGTAAATATTAGATTTATTTTTTTGAAATTATGGGGAATAATTTTTAAAAATGATTTCAGTATTAAAAATAAAAATGAAAAAAAAAGTGATTTGACAAAATAACTTGTATACATTTTATAATGCATGGAGATTTCCATATATGTGCCACGTAGCGAAATGAGATTAAAATTTCCTAAACAAATTCATGAACCAATCTAATGTATTCGTTATCAAATAATTTAACAAAGGTTAGTGATTTTGCCAGGACATCTTTAACATTTGGAGCAAACAGACTCTCTTACCCCTTAAGAGGTCAAATGTATCTTCAATTTTCTTTTTCCAGTTTTTCCTTTTCAATCCAATTTGTCTTGTTTCTCTCTCCTATCAATCACAAAAATATTTCTCTTCGACTCTCAACCGCAATTGTAATAATTTTTTCATACATTTACTGAAAGCTTGTTGTACAAATGGATATTCTCTTCCATCGTACCAGCACTGTTTTTTGCTTTAGGTTGGGTTTTGAAAACTCTTAGTCATGATTTTGCAGGCTATAGTTGTCATCTCTAACTCCATGATTAGGAGTAAAGATCGTGTTGAGTGATGAAACCCTCCTTCAATTTGATTGATTTTTGGTTTGCGTGAAACTTCAATGTCAATGTTCTTCTTCTTCTTCATTTTCTTAAGCTCTCTTTTTTAGTGTAAATAATATGCCAGTAAAATTGCAATTTCGTGTAATACTCATCAACAATTGGTTTTGGGTCAAAAAGCAATCTAGACTATATTACTGCTGAAGGCTAGCCGCCTTTAATTCCCTGATCGACAGGCATACATAGACTTAGGCTATCATCTAAGATCAACGATATTTAATTCAGGACAATATATCCGATTACAATTCAGGCAGACACAATGGGGGGTTTTTGTTCGTACTGAATAGGTGTATTGCACAATTTTATTAATTTTGAGATGTCATGAATTTAGATTTTGGGAAGCTCCAAATCAGTCGTTCAACAAGTCATCAAATCATTCCCAATCCCACCTCATTACAGGTCAACTGGGATTTTCAATCCGTCATGTGCAAGCTGGATCGGTATACCTTCTCTGTGGTATCAGGCAAAGGAGAGAATATTAATATTTGCTTTGCCTTCTTAGAAAGTCAAAACTTTCAAGTCATGAACACCAAAAGATTTTACCGTTTAGACCAATCTTTGAGAAATTCATTATCTTTCTGGTGATCAAACTCATGGGTCATTCCAACTAGCAAGGCTCTTTTTGGGCACAGCCTTTTCACAGCATCAAGGGTCTGTAAAAAGTAATTTGGCAGTGGTAAGATACTCACAACTTCTATGATTATAATAATGCAGAATTTGTCAGGAGAAAACAAACCTGAGGAAAGCAGAAATGAGTATTATGGGAACCTTTCTGCGAAAAAGTGAGTATCTAATAAGGATGAGGTAAACAAAGTTCCTTTTGCTAGCACGCAAAGAGATGAAATTAGCAAAAAATAAAAACAATAATTACATAAACCAAGTAGGGACGACGCAAACGCTGAGAGAAGCAGGGATCATTAGAATCTACTCCTACAACAATAAAGCCCTAACTCCTCCACTTGGGAATTAAAAGGTCAACAAAAATCTATAAAGGAAACTAATCACCAAATAAGAGCTTCAGCACTTACAATCATTCTAGAACAACAGTTATAATCACATCTTCCAGGAAAATTTCACTAAAGAGCTAGAAACTTTTTTAACACAATGAAGAAAGTTGGACAGAGTGGAGTATTACAAGTCAGGAAATAGGAAATAGCTAAAATAACCGATTGAGAGTAGAAGTAGGAAGATGAAAATGTTACAAATAAAAAAAAATGTTGCATTAGTATGACTATGGAAGTGTACTAACCTTATAAAGTGTGTCGAGTATGAGGAGGTCCAGCTGTTGTCCATTATCTTTAGAGATGTCTGCAAAAGAAAGCAACAGTCTCTAATTTATCAGCCAAAAAATAGACCTTGCTCATATATGTTTCCTTTTGATTGGTGTATAAACATTACTCTTATGCTGTGCTTGATTTTGTTCTCTAGACTTTTTTTTTTCCTGCATAAACCTACTCCAATATTCTGCATGTGCGTTCTTTGAGATTCTTAAGAACGTCCCATGTTGACAATATCATACACAATCAATGATCAATTTCACATAACTGAGCCACAGATGAGAATTTTTAAATGAAGAGAAGGAGACTATGGATTATGGAACTAGGGGAAATTAAAGCAATTCAAACACATCCCCTGTTCAAATAAATTTATCTGACAGGGTCTACAGATGCAAAAAACCAGAAGCATTGCAAGATAATTTTGCACAACCAACTAATGTATAAGATTGATGTCCTTTGACGACTTCATGTCCTTTGACCATTTCTATGCATTTTGTTCATAAACTTTCGGATCCTCAAAATGCAAAAGATGACAAATTACAATAATAGTGCTTGGTATAGCTAACACTCACACTGTTCTGTGGTTGGCAAAATACGAGAAACATCTGATAAATAAGCAACTCTGCATTTTCCACCAAATAGAAAACCTAAGCATACATAGTCTTCACCGTGCATCACCTGAATTGAAATCAAAATCAATAAAATACAGAACATACATTCACTATATCAAATTGCTTACTCAGCAAATGGACACAAATGAGAGAAAACTAACAGGCAAAGGAATAATTTCAAGTCCTGATGCAACAAATGCCTTCTTACAATCAGTCTCGATAGTCTTCCAGTCCAGTTGTGCTACACGTCTGACTTCCTGTCCTTCCTTCAATTTCTTATGAACCAAATAGGGAAATTTCATCGAGATGCTGTAGCACATAATGCATTACCGGTCATGACAAACAAACTTATCAACAAGCAATATTGTTACAACAAAAAACTAAATTGAGCAGTTCAACGACATTAAATGATCACCTTTAACCAGACCAATCTTTTAATCTTTTTTAGAAAACTATAGTACTTCTGAAATACAGAAGCTAATAACTCCATTTTGCTAACTCGATCCTTCTTAACAATTAGTCGATATTCCAATATACAATTTCAGAACTATCTAAACTACAGTGTTTCAGAAGCAATTTCACAATAACCTGAAGATGAGAAAACAACATCCATTTTCCTTGAAATTGTCTCAATTGTGAAACTAAGAAGCAATTGAAGGATGTTTGGCTAAGTCAATTTTCAGAGTTCAACTTAGATTAAATAACCTTTGCCTCTTCAAATATTGAAACTGTAGCAACAGTGGGATTTTCAGTTTCCAAAATACTAAACTTTTTGGAACTTTCACAACCATTCTCACAATTTCAAGTTGTCAAACCCCACAAATAGAGAAAAACATATGTAAGTGAAAGATTGGCATCTCCACAGGCATTTGTAGTAATAAATGAATTTCCCTCCAGCATATCATTATCATAATCTTCATCAGGAAAGACTTAAGTAAAATTTTACACCAGTATTAATTCCTGACAACATCCAAACAAGAAGAACAGTTGCTTGATGGGTGACTGAAAATGTTTTAGCCTGAAAACCAAAAGATGGAAATAGATATACAAGAAAGAAAAGTGTAACAGTTCTTCAAAGCAAAAAAATTGAGAAAAAGAGTTAAAATAAATAAAACAAAAGTAACAAAAGTAAAACAAAAAATCAAATGTTAAGGAAGTAACCAATCGTACAGACCCATAGTTATATGTCTCCCATAAACTTCAAGACAAACAAATATATATTAATTGACAATTGGCCAAAGATACGTATGATGTGAGCAATATTCCATCTCATTAAATAGATAGACAAACAAATAGAAAGATTACACAGATAAGAAAGGTCCTATACCACCCACCATAGTTAGATAAAGGGTTGTTGTACCGATATCCAACAGCTAGGCTTAGAGGGAACCGCATTTTGACATATATAAAATTAGACAGGACTAATATGCTTGTTCAGCAAAGGTTTGTATAGAACATAAGATGCAAAGATATACGTCCTTATCAATAGGACCATAGGGGGTTCATAACTTGATAAATCAGACTTATAAGAAACACAACGAAAGAACAAAATCACAAGGACATGACAACAGAACGACACAAATAAAAAGATAGAAGAAAAGTATATTTCAACTTCATCAATGTGGTCACCCCAACATGAAATTTCAAGTCTAACAATTACCAAATGCCAAATGGAAATTGGCATAGGTATGCTGTTGGTATTAACTCAATGGACATTGCTCAACTTTCACAAGCATTAATTAGCACTATAAAGTCCTTTACATGCTTTCCAGCTTAACAGATAGGCTATTCTCAGAATCTAATTAATTCCACATCAGCTAAATTGAATGGGATGTGTAACTTCTGTACATTACAGTACAGGATGTAATAGAAACTTCATTTCAGACCAAGCTTTTCTTAATCACCAGATACAACAATAAACCATTTCAAAACCTTCTCTAAGGTATCTGTCGATTGAAGAGGTTCTGAAGTTCAACTAATGAAGCATGCATAAACTGATGGTACGTATTGTAGAAATAAAGTTCTGGAGGTTAACCACCCCCCCCACCAAAAAGAAATAATAATAATAATAATAAAAATAAGTTCAGTACAATTTGCAAGGGTTATTAGGCAGAGAAAGAGCTAAGAGCTAGCTGCAAATATCACACTTTTGACCCGATCTGCAAGTCAAATACTTTCTCATTGATCATATTCTTCCAGTTTAAAACAGTACCCTGATTAAAAGGCAGAAATGCAGTACCAAAACATAAAGTTTATGCATGAATCCACACTTGAAACAAAAACGATTAGTACCTTTCCATTGAATGTTCGGTCAGGTAGATAGGAGTTGGATCAATATCATTTGTGGGACTAAATGGTTGCACAACGCGAACATCATCAAGACCAAGAATTGCATCAGCATGCTCATGAGACAAAATTATCTAGGAAAAACAGGAGCTGCATTATAAGTATGAATTATATAAAAAATTATTCATGGTAACTTAAATTTTAAACATCGTCCTGAATCAGCGAAAAAGTGGGAAGTGTTTATATAACAGATAAAAAGTTTCCACTGAAACAAATGCTACTTCGTTTGCTCATGTCCAGTTTCAGTCAGTGCAAACTGATAAGTCCACTGTAAGGGCTATGAGAAACTACATCTTTCAAGGTTCATTTTTCAATTAATCACTGAAATTCAGCAGGGGAGGTGACGGCTAACTAGCCTTTCAGATGGCCGCAACTCTTTGCTAAATACACGTGTACAACAGCAGTGAAACTTGTCTCTGAAGTTTTAAATTTACGACGTACCCAAATGGCATCACATGCAAGGGAGAATCGATTAATGGTCTCAGAAAGAAGAAAATTAATTAATTATTTGGTCATGCAAAACACAAATTAAGATAATCACATGCTGCCAATTTGAAGGAAAAATTGCAAGGGAAAAGGATTCCTAAAAAGTTATATTCTTCATGTACTCAAGGGGGCATATTTCACTAATTTTGTATATAGAGCAGCTGCTGCATTGCGCGACAAACTCAATTGTCCTCCCAGAGATTTAGACAAGAGCTCAATTCACAGACAAAAGTTTCAAGACTGTAGCTTGAGCCTATCTACCTTTCCAGAACCTATTGCTTATTTCGTAAACAGAAGCAAACTATAACTGGAGTAACAGGAAAGTATAGAGTATTATGTCCACAAATGCAAGGAATCCTTTGATGTTTTTCTCCTTTATCAGCAATCTGGGTTCACTGGCATATGTGTGTTACTTGTTCCTATGTGTTACATGAACTCTATTAGTGGCACTTGTTATTGCCGCAGGTCTGTCTGTCAATCTTGTTAATATCGATGGAGGACACGAACACCAGGTCAAAGAGTCATACAGAAAGTGCATCTTGATTTTACGCACTAAACTGAAAATGAGGCAATCTGTGAGTAAATTATGCTATCTCAACAATTTCACTTCTATTTTTTCTTTCTGCACAAACCCAACTGACTCCCCTCAATCTAAATCCTCTCCCTTCTCTTTTCCCATCTTCTAAGAGGTGGATGCGAACTTAAGTTGCAAAATTCTAATTAACTCCACTTTCTTAACCAATTCTAGGAGGAAATCCATTTAAACAAGAGAAAGATCCCAAATTCGCAACGAACCAAGAATAATGTAATTACCCAAGTTTCTTTGCCTTTTTAATAAAGTGGTCCATTTAAAATCTGCCGTTCATCAATCCAAGAAATACAGAAGGGTGCGGTCTAATATGATTCTTCTAACACGTCACAGCTTTAATTCCACGCAGAAACATGCATTGTGAAAGTCCAAATTCTTATTTAATTCATATGAAGCACATCCAAATCTAAATGGATCTTAGAGAAACTGATTAATCCGTCATTTACAACTGCAGAATGCATATCAAAATAAGTAGTGCTTCTTCTTCCATTTTGAAACTAAAGTTTCAATAAGATAATAACAAACATGCATCTAACTTGTGGAATGCTTGTATGCAGATCGAACACCATTAACCGCAGAATCTCAATAAGAGTTTCCGGAAAAAGAGAGGGGGGGGGGTGGTAGGAAAACTCACAGAATCAACTTGTGGAATTTTGTATAAAGTAAACCACCGCAGAACTTGCTCCCTAAACGTTTTCCCTACATCAATCAAGATATATTTATGCTCATCGCCAGCTTGGCAATAATCAATAAGGAGAGATGTATTGCACCTGATAGTTTCAAGCCATTACTCCATTAGTACCCACCATAGACCTCATCCAATTTGATTGAAAGTTAAAAAAACAAAAAAATCAAAAAAATTAAAAAAAAAATGCCATCATATGAAGTCCATATGACATGATGAATGCACGCACAAATGTTGCTATCAGAACAGGGGAAGTAAAAGAAAAGAGCACATATATCCACATGAGTTTCCAATTCCCAACCATGGCCCTGAGAACTTACCAGAACTACCGCAAGTCATATAGATTGCTCAACAAACATAAACGCAATAACAGCCAAAGTTAAGTAATTATAACCCCCTTACCACCACCGACATAAAAGATGGAAACAAAAAAAGGAAAGTGATATTGGAACAAGATGGACCTGTAATTAGGGTTTTGTTCCGGTGGTATAGCCAATGACTGACTACAAACATGGCAGGGAGGATCAGAAGGTCTGATTAAGCAAAGCGCGTTCGGAACCGCGCTCGAACAACCGGTGCCAAGGAATATTAATGCCGAACGCGGTGGCTCCTCCACATCGCCATTCTCCCGCACGGCGTCGGAAGATGCCATTTCTGTACTTTTCAGGAAGAAGGTTCGCGAGAGAAATACGTCGTAGAGCGCAGGAGACTGAACTGAAGGAGAAGGAACGAAATGAGAGATCTTCCTTGGCAAAACTTCCACCGTCCTAAACGTAGTACTATTTTTCGTTTTGTAATTTTTACTCTTATTTTTTCAGTATTTTCTTTTCTTTTAATTAAAATTTCAAAATTATCGGATTTCACACCCGAACATGGCTCGCCGTGGTGGTTTATATCCTACTATTATAAGTTACTAGATGATAAACCCACACGATGTACGGGATAAATTATATTGCTTATTGAAAAAAATAAAAATATATGTTATGATAGAAATCTCGTAAATGAAGCAAATTTCTTGAATACAACCATCAAACAATAAATTACAAAGATAATTTGTCTATTACATGAAACTCAAAAAATTACGAAAAACTCACAATAAGACGATCGTTTATCTAAGAAATTCTATCTCTTTAACTCAAATCAGCAAAGAACACATAATCTATAAAAGACTCGAATTAAATAACAACCCACAAAGAATAGTAAGAACACCATTCAACAAACTCGATCAATCACTCATTCAAGTACTCAAGGAATGTAGGAGCAGACAATACTCAACTATAGAGAAGTACTATTGATTAGTAATCTCTATAGCCAATAAAGATCTACGACACACACACTGTCTCAAAATGATTATGCCAAAGCAAAACTCATCCAAGAGGACAAACCTCACAAAAGAACTCATAAACACACACATCATGAAATCCGAAAACCCTAAAGAAAAGACACATCTCTCGAACTACTAGAAGTAGTATGAAAACAAGAAGATTAGTTTTAAAACAATCTTATCAAGAAGCATTTGAAAAAGAATGGTTTCTGCAAGATCTCAAAGATCCAAAGCAAGATGAAAATTCCTCATGAATTAAACATACTTGCACTCAAAAAATGGACACATCATTTAACAAAATTCCTCAAAGGAAAAGACTCGCATTCGAGAAGAAAACAAATGACCACTCAAGAGTACTTTGATCCTTCGGTCATACTACCTATTTACAGGCTAGCTTCCTTGGTCACAAAGCACCTAAAATAAGACCAACTAGGACTCTTACTCTTATCTCTAGCAGGAGTAGAGTTGGAAGAGTATTTGATCTCTTTGACTCTATCTCAATCTAGGAAACCTTATTTAAACAATGACTTATCCTTAACAAAGATAATGATTAGAAGGAATTTTAGACTCCCAAACATAACACTCTAGCTTAACTCATCCCACATTGCTTATCATTAACTAGATAACTTGAAAATAAACTCCTAGACTTAGATATAACTCTAATTTAGAAATCCAGCTCCAAATAATGAAGTAGAATGTCTTGAACTCCTTTTCAAAAGATGAAATATTGGTTTTGCGCCCCTCAAGTTGAAGAAAACTTAAATTTACTCCAAAACTTGCAAAACTCTTTTATTGACTCCGCAAGAATCGATAAACACCAAAAACAATCACGATAGTTTGCACCCTATCCAAATTGTATAGTAATTGACTCAATCTTGAACTCCTTATCAAATAGGCCATCCACTCAAGAACCTAAATCACATCTCCTTAGCTTGCTCAATCAATGATTGTCATGGTTGGCACCTTGAGTTGAATTTCCATGAAACTCCTCAGCACTTATTTCCATGATTAAATCATCTCCTTCAGTTTGATCAACAAAGTTAATGACATGCTCATTATCTTGATCATAGCTTGCAATCTAGCTAGGGCTGCTAATACGGGCAGGTTCGGTCGCTTTTGGTTAATCGATTTTTTTCCCGCAACACACCTGGCTGAAACCGAAGCACAAAATATATAACTCAGAATCGAACCGACCGAAAATACATTCGGTTTCGGTTCACCCGCATACTTTTTCTCCAAATGAAAATTGACAATAACATTCTTCCTCTTTCGTGTTCTTCTGCAAATGGCCAGTAGCCACCCATAACCCACCACACTTTGTTATTCAAATTAATACAGAGCAATAATAGCAAATTCGCCATTCGCCTTTAGAAAAAGCTACAATAAACCCCTCTAAAATAAGAATTTATGCTCTGAACCGAAATGCTACAATAAAACTCCCTCTCCTAGAGTAAAACCCTCTTACCATGGCAACGACGTCATCTTTTGCGAATTATTGTCGTCTTCGTCATCTCCTACAGTCAATAGCAACCACAAGCAACGATTCCTCAAGTAAATTCCACGATTAATACTTCAGCAAAAGAGATTTTGGGACTTTAAGATTGATTTGCTTTTGGGGGGCGGTTTTCTAGATCTGCTTCAAGGGTTGAAGGTAAAAGAGAAATCCGTAGATCTGAGAGCCACGGGTTGAAGAAATAAAATTGAGGACAAGGGGAGCTCTCCGGTCGACGAAGCCAATCGGCAGTGAAAGGAAGAAGTTGCGTCGGCGGCATATGAAGAATTGGGAGAAGGATTTTCTGATTCTTAGTGTTTCTATTTTGACTGGGTAAAAAAAACAAATCTGGTTAGTAGTAGATGTTGTTGTTATTATTATTATTTATTTTTTTTAAAAAAATAATTATAATTCAGGTTTCCGGGCAGCGCCCGAATAATTTTCTCTCTACCCGCACCCGCACCGAAGTAGCTCTTCAGTTGATCAGGTACACCAGCAAACCCCGTATTTCACCTGAAGAACAGACCCGTTTACCCCGATTAACTGATAGCCCTATTGCTATCAACAAGTCCCTATCACATCGATAGTCAAGCTCCATCTTTTCTTCCTTGATTGGCCTACAAAGATAACTTGGCATTCCGAAACAAGAATGTAGGACCAGCTCATTCCCCTCGCAAGGAGAAACTTCATGGAAGGCTACATGATTCTCATCATCCCCTCCTTCTTTAAGAGGATTCGTCCTCGAATCATCAACCTCTAAACCTGTACAAGGAACAAACGACGAGATATAAGGGTTAGTTAAATCCTCACCCTTACCACACTTTTGTTTTCTCTCATTTCGTGCATTTTTATCTATTTCCACGCGATTTTCAGCATTTTCTCTTGCCTCAAGTCTAGTCTCATCGTAACCCTTTTTCCATTTTTGCGTCGCTCGCTCGACTTTTTCTCATCGTGACCCTGAAGTCTTGTTTTCTCTCATTACGTCTTTTCTCTTTGACTCTATCTAAATCTAGGAAATATTATCTAAACAACGACTTATCCTTAACAAGGATAATGATTAGAAGGGATCTAAGACTCCTAAACAAAATACTCTAGCTTAACTTTTTTTTTTTAACTCAACAGGAAGGCAAGGATGACATTCAGGTTCCAACTATCTCAAAAAAACTCAAGTGGTCTACCCAGGAGATAAATTTTGGAGATAGGCAGTGCTATATAGTACAATGCACCCAAGGGATCTACCTAAGGGATGGACATTGATACTATATAGTTCCCTAGTTTCACCCTTCCCTGATTTTATTAATATGTGGAAGAAAGAGGGCAGTGTTTATGTCTCACCCTTGTACAAGACCATAGAAGCTAATTTCGTAAATATGGAAAGGACAATTGATCTAATATCAAAAGCCCCTTTACAAAACTAGACAGTGATACAAAACTATTGTAAGTATTAGATATTCCACTTGATGCTTGTTTAGCTAAGCAGTCTGCAACAACATTGCCTTCCTTGTAAATATGAGAGACCAAGTAATTATTCCTTAAGATGGCAGGACACATCTCAATCAACTCCAAATGAAATCGCCATGGAAATCCTCTCTTCTCATTCAGAATACAAGACAGAGAATGATTATCAGCTTGTACCCTAACATTTTAAAGTTGTAGGAGCTCGCACCTGCGAAGTCCAAAAAGAATACGAAAAATTTCTGCTTGGAAAAAATCTCCATCACCCAAATATCCACTTTCTCCATAAATGAACTTACCACCTTCTCCTCGGATGACAAAACCATAGCCTGCTCCATTAGCATTAGATGATCCATCCGAATTCAAAACAAAACAGTTCGAGTCTGGGGAATCCATCTTACTACTTTAGGATTCCTTTTGTTAGCCCGAGTCAAGTGAAATCCAAAAAGACTTAAAATAAAAGCGGATTTGACTCAAAAGCGGATTTGACCGTAAATTGCCCTTGAGGAGTACTTTGCCAAACAAGAAGATCATCACCCTCCATAAAATCCATGTCAAAACTTTCCAGGAAGGCAAAGTTTGCTGGACTAAGGGAGCCTTGTAAAGCCGGTAGGTAGAGATCCTTATTCTCCAGAAATTCTTGAATGCAAAGATTCGGCCACGGAGGCTTACCAAATGCATTAACCTAGAAAACACCATTGGGACCCCAATTGTCAAACTAGAATGATCGATCACCACTTCGTACAATAATCTTAGAAAAAGTTATAGCTTGCTCACCAACTTTTATTACTCTAGCCCAAGAGGTCTTCTCCTTAGCCGAATGAGACAAAGAGTGAAGAAAGGCACTCCAAATACCCTTGTTGTTCTTCAATTTCTACCATAATTTAGAAATAAGGGCAGAGATAACATCATCAAAGCTTCTCAACCCAAGACCATTTTCTTGAACGGGAAAAGTGACTCTTTCCCAAGAGCGCCAATGCCTCTTCTTAACCTCCCTTGATTCTTCCCAAAGAAACTTTTGGCAGCAAGCTTCCCTATTCCTAATGGCGACTTAGGTGGTGGAATTGCTGAAAATACATGAAGTGGCATAGAACTCAAAACATACCGAATCAGCATGAGTCGGCCTCCCGGAGATAAAAACTTGTTTTTCCAATTTAGGAGCTTAGCATCCATAGCATCCAAGAGAAATTAGAATATAGCCGCCTTTTTCCTTCCATTAAAAATCCTGCATCCCAAATATGTGAAGGGAAACACGCCATGTTGCATTCCCAATGTATCTTTGATCATTTCAATTCTTCTTGAACTACACTTCTCCGAAGCCACGAAAGAGCTTTTACCCCTATTGATTTTTTGACCTTTAGCTTTTTCATATTGCTCAAAGAAAGAATTTAGCCTTCGTAAAGATCTTTGAGTCCCCTTTGTAAAAATAATCAAATCATTTGCAAAACGCAAGTGTGAGACCACAAGTGAACCCGCGGGAGATCCATAAGGAGCAATCTTACGTCCAAAACTAGAGCTTTCAATCTTCTAGTTAGAGCCTCTGAAACAATGATAAACAAGTAAGCAACAACGGATCCCCTTGCTTAATTCCCCGAGAAGCTTTAAAAAATCCAGCAGGACTACCATCTATCAACACAGAAAACCAACTGTTTTGAAGGTTATTCATGACTAATTTTACAAAAAGTGGTGGAAAACCAAACTTCAGCAAAATAGATTCAAGGAAGTTCCACTTAACCCTATCAAATGCTTTCATCATATCAATTTTCAAAACAATATTACCTCCATCTGCCTTGCGATTTATGAACTGGCAAAGATCATGTGCCAACAGAACATTATCAATGATGTCCCTACCAGCCAAAAAAGCTGATTGTTCCTCAGAAATAACTTTTGGTAACACCACCTTCAAACGCTCAGTGAAAATTTTGTAAAAATCTTGTTGAGAAAATTGGAAAGACTAATAGGGCGAAAATCTGAAAAAGTACTTACAGTCTGCTTTTTTGGGCGCAAGGTAATCAAAGTACTAGCAATAGCTCATGGAATTGGCACCCCAAGCATAAATTCCTTTCATGCGGACCAAAGATCATCCGTGATGACATTCCAACAACTTCGGTAAAAAACACCAGTGAATCTGTCTACACCCGGAGCACTTTCTTCATTTAGATTAAAGACAGCTTCTTTACTTCCTCAAGTGAGATGGGCCGCAAGAGAAGGTCATGGTCTTCAGCCCCCAAAATAACCGGGATATGTTGCAAGAATACCTCATGCGCAGCCTCATGCGAAGAGCTATAGGCAGCATCTTCACTCAAAAGATCCTCAAAGAAACCAGCATCTTCTTGTTCAATGGCATTCATATCAGTTAGCATGATTCCTTGTCAATCCTGAATTTTATGGATATTTTGTCTCAGCCGTTTTTCTCTTAAAGAAGCATGAAAGTAGGAGGTGTTAGCATCACCCTCTTTCAACCACCTAATTTGTGCTTTTTGTCTTAGAAAATCCTCATGCTCTTTAAGTCTCAACAGCAGCAAAGCCTTTGCATTATGCAAGTTCATTGTCACCCTCCAAGCCGGATAGATCGTGAAGATTTTCTAAGTGTTGCACCTTTGCTTCTGCTTCCTTCAAGTTGGCAAAGACATCACCAAAACACGATTTATTCCACTCTTTGAGCTTGATTTTTCGCCTTCTCAATTTAAGAGAGAAAGCTATCATTCCAAAACCATCTATAGGCTGCTCCCAATTCTCCTTGACTACTGAAAGAAACTCCGATCTTTGCAGCCACATTTGCTGAAACCGAAAAACTCTTGGCTTGGAAACTCCTTGCAGTCCAAACATATGAAACATGGGGCTGTGATCGGACGATGTTCTACTCAAATTCTCAATGGAATTAACTTGAAAGAAATCCAACCATTCATCCGAGAAAAGGACTCTATCTAGTTTTTTGCTCACCCAACCTGTTTGCCTTGTTCCACCCCAAGTAAAGTCCTCACCAACAGTTGGAATCTCTAGCAAATTGCAAGCCTGAATACACATATTGAAATCCTCTATGGCCGAATGGTCCTGCACGGAGACACCACTGTATTCTTCCAAGCTTCGAATAACATTAAAGTCCCTACATACCATCCATGGAGCACCCATATTATTACGTTTAAAACCTTCCAAACTTTGCCAAAGGTCACGTTTCCTAGCCCTTGTCGATTTAGCATACACAACCGACAAGAAATAAGACTGAGACACTAGAGGATGCTTAATTTCAAAATGCAGCACTTGATCATCATCTCTCAACAAAGAAGCTTGAATTTCAGATTTGCAAAAAACCCATATTTTACTGTTATTTGAGGAGAAAGCAGTGTCAAAAGCAAGCTCTTGCTTTATTTCATCTAACTTATCAACCTGAAGCATAGGCTCCAAAATAACCAGAATCCGAACATTATAAACCCGAAGCAAACACCTCAAACGCCTCTGGGACGCCTGGTTTTTTATGCCTCGGATATTCCATATAATTTGGTTTAACATTGGATAAAAAAAACAGAGAGGAATCAGTTCAAGCGGGCTGATCGCCGCAGCACCAAACCCACCTGTGATCTAGCCCGCTCCTCCTTGGACTTGCGGCCGCGTTTCTTTGTAACCGTAAAATCTCCCCGGACGTTCCCATGCACCAGGACCTCATCTTTCTCACCCTCAGACCAGCTTCCCGTATCATTCTCCAAACCAGCTCCATGCAATCCGATGTCGTTATCATCAGAAAAGATATGAGGAGTCTCCGTCAAAGACATCAACGCTAAAACACGCGATTCAACATGATCATCAACCCGACATATTTCCTCTACTTCCTTATTTGGGGAGTCTTCCACATAAACTGATTCAATAAATTCTTCGTTAGATCCTATTTCATCATTGATCTCCAGAATCGAAGACAAAACCGAGAATCTGTTCTTCTACGCAACGGGCTGCGCACTAGGGTTTGGCGTGCTACCTAGTTCATTGGATTGCGGGGGAGAATCTGTTAAACTGGGAGCCTCTTTGGACTGATTTTCTACTACGGTGTCATGCACATCAACCGGAATCTTCTTCTTCTCCTTAGCAGAAAGTCCAGACGATGATGGTCGATCTGTAGCAGCAACTGAAGCAGACGTAGCCACACCTTGCGCGCTAGGGTTTGTCGCATCCTACGCGCTAGGGTTAGTCGCGGCCTTCTCCTGCGCGCTAGGGTTTGAAGCAGATGGAGCTTTCTCCTGCGGCTTTGTGGCAGTAACATGCGAAGGGTCCTTCCTTTTGATTCTATCAACAATCTTTTCTGGAGCCTTTTTCTTCTTGTCAGCAGCCTTTTGGAGGCCAGCCCGGCAATCCTCTTTCTTGTGCCCGATCTTATTACACTTAGTACAATAAGCCGGAATGTGTTTGTAGGTGAAAATCTGATCATGCTTCTTACCTTTCTTTCCCACCTTCACAGATTTTGGGAACTCTTTTGTAAGGTCAACTTCAACACAAAAACGCGCTACCGAAGGCCTTGTCATGTTGAGAGTAGGCGCATCCACCTTCAATGGCTTCCCAATCGCGGTTGCCATTGAAAAATTACCTCCGGATTGAGAAATTCAATCGGGAGATCAAAAAGGGAGACCCAGATTGGGACAATGGGGGGATCTTCCTCAAATTTGAAACCCGGCCTCCATTTCAAAATTCTCATGGAGAATCCGGCGATGTTCCAAAACGTTTTAATCCAGCATCTTTGATAATCCTCTTCCCTTTCAAAGCGAATGAGGACATGCCTAGGATTCATAAGGTCAAGAGTATAGCCTCCATGGAACCCTAGTTTCTTGAATTCTTTGTGGACCTCTTCCACTTTTGGTCGACCATATGAAAACTTCCCAATTAGACTTAATTGGTGTGGGGCTACCAATTGATCATATTCATCTGATTCATACTCCAAAACGGGAACACCATTAACAAATCGGACTTCCTTGACTAATGTGCCTTTAGACGAAGGAGTGTCTATTGGCTTTTGGAAAAAACTCGCAAATGTGCGAGGAGGTCCAGTGGGGAGCTCCTCGGCTTGTTCACCGGTCATGAGACCGTGAAACAAGACTGGAAATTGAAAAATCCGGCCACTAGTAGAGAGAGGTTAGGAGAACCGGCGAGTAAAAGTTGGCCACACTTGGAATAACACTCTAGCTTAAATTAGCCCACATGGCTTATCATTAACTAGATAACTCGAAAATAAACTCCTAGACTAGATATAACTCTAACTTTGAAATTCAGCTCCAAATAATGAAGTAGAATGTCTTGAATTCCCTTCCAAAAGATGGAATATTGGTTTTGCACCCCTCATGTTGAAGAAGACTTCAATTTACTCCAAAACTTGTGAAACTCTTTTATTGACTCCACAAGAATCGATAAACACCAAAAACAATCAAGATAGTTTGCACCCTATCCAAATTGTATAGCGATTGACTCAATCTTGAACTCTTTATCAAATAGGTCGTCCACTCAAAAATATAAATGACATCTCCTTAGCTTGCTCGATCAATGATATTCATGGTTGGCACCTTGAGTTAAATTTCCATGAAACTCCTCAACACTTATTTCCATGATTAAATCATCTCTTTTGGTTTGATCCCCAAAGTTAATGACATGCTCATTATCTTGATCATAGCTTGCTAGCAACAACTCCCTATCACATAGGTAGTCAAGATCATCTTTTCTTCCTTGATTGGCCTACAAAGGTAACTTGGCATTCCAAAACAAGAATGAAAGACCAGCGCATTCCCCTCACAAGGAGAACCTTCATGGAAGGCTACATGATTCTCATCATGTTGCATGTGTATAAATCTTGTAAAATATTAATTGTTAAAATTTTGAATAAAGGAAAATGTGTAAAACAATACAAAGTGAGTCCCATGAATCCGTGATACATGATTTTATTTGGAAATGTATTGACATTTTCAATTAGTCAACAAAAGAAAAAAAATTGTAATTTTGTATTTGACATATAAACATTGAAGAACATTAGGATGTATAGAGAGAATCTATATCAAAGAAGTTTACTATGCAATTTTCCTACCATTAAGCATGAAATGGTAACTGTAATGTTATAAATCACCGCATTAATAGTAGTTGATTATGGGTATATTTAATATTTCATTTAATTTGGTTGATAATTTAAGGGTTAAAATAATTTGGTATTGATCATGAGTAATCCCTATTTTGGCTCCTAATTATGTTGTATATTTAACACCCAGAAAGTTTGAAATTCAAAAAACTATCTCGTATTTAATATACAAATTGTGAATGAATATTCATAAATGTCTACCCTAATTTATAGTTTACTTAAGCATGAAATTCGAGGACTTGAACACAATTTCAATAACATTTTTTCCTAAGGTAGTCTACAAAAATGACACGTAGGATTTTTGCTGATGTGGCATTATAGGGATTACTCTTGTTTTCTCTCTCTGGTTTCTCTCTTAGTATAATATATATACTATAGATTAAAGTAAGAGTGAGGGTACCCATCTCTTATGGAGTTCCCAGGATGGTTTACCTTCCACTGTTATCTATAGGCTATTGTTGTGGGCGTGAATTTACTCACTAATGACATTCCTAGCGATACAAACCCAAAAAAATAAATAAATCCAAAACTACAAGAATATAAAGGGTATGGTAATGATAATAAGTCCTCTCCGTTCGTTTTCAAAAAAGAAAAAGTACCCTTTGTTCCGAAATTATTGTTCAATTTGAATTTTCATTAATACAAATTGAAGTAAAAGTGAAAACTCAAACTGGAATAATTTTAGGACAGAGGGAGTATTATAAAAGGCAATAGCTTTTTTTGGTTATTACAGTGTTGCTATTTTGAGAGATTAAATTCTGAAATTAGTTTTTTTTATCACGTCAAATACATATTTTGGTTCTCTATATTAACATTTGGCTCAAGTGGTCATCTACATTTTTGCTTATAACTTTTTGGTTCTTTGGCAATATTCTAGCAATTTGACAGTATTCGGGGTTAAGTCAACATGGGTATTTTTGGAATAAAAAATATTTATTTTCCAAAAAATCTAATATTGAACAAAATAAGTTTAAATTAATAAAAATTTTGAATTACAAAATAATAAAATAGGATTAAATTACTAAAGTTTTATTTTTAAAAAATTAAAAAAAAAGTACTTATCCAACCAGCTTTTTAAACCGTAGCCCATCACCATGGAGTTTTCATCCCATATATTATTCATCCCAATCTTTCAAATACCTTATTTACGGGATGATGCCTGTATCCATTCCGAACATTTTTATCTTATTCCGCTATTTCTATTTCAGTGAAATTCTAAAAACACTTTTTCCTAATTATTATCCCTCAAATCCCAAATCAGATCTAAACTCAGCAGCACCATATGATTCATGCAAAAAAAGAAAAAAAAAATGTCTTGCTGGCATAGTAGACCACATGAAGGATGTTGTTCCTTCTCTGTCCCAGCATAACTCCTACTGCAAAATCACTGGCATCAGATATTAATTCAAATGGTTGAGACCAATCAGGAGTAGATTATTGTTGCTAGAATTAACTTCTCCTTTAATTCTTTGAATGCCCTCATACAGTCATCATCAAAGATTAAAGCTGTATCCTTCTCCAGCAGGTTACACAATGGTTCAGAGATTTTGGAAAAATCCTTGATAAATCTCCTGTAGAAACCAGTATGGCCAAGAAAACTTCTGATACCCCAGACTGATGCAGGAGGATCCATCTTTTCAATTACTTCGATCTTGGCTCTGTCAACTTCTTTTCCCTTAGCAAAAACTTTGTGACCAAGAACAATGCCTTCTGTCGCCATAAAATGATATTTCTCCCAATTCAACACTAAATTAGTTTCAATGCATCTTTCTAAAACCCTTCCCAGATTGAGGAGGCAATTTTCAAAAAGACTTTCCAAAAACGAAAAAATCATCCACGAATACCTCAAAAATGTCCTCCACCATGTCTGAGAATAGTGAGATCATGCATCTCTGGAAGGTTGCTGGGGCATTACACAAGCCAAATGACATCCTTCTAAAAGCAAAGGTGCAATAGGGACAGGTGAATGTTGTTTTCTCCTGGTCCTCAGGTGCTATGGGAATCTGATTGGGAATCTGATTGTAACTTGAATAACCGTCAAGAAAACAATAATACATATAGCCTGCTTACATGTCAAGCATTTGATCAATGAACGGTAGGGGAAAGTGATTCTTCCTGGTTGCCTTGTTGAGCTTCCTATAGTCCATGCAAACTCTCCAGGAACTGACCACTCTGGTTGGGATCAATTCATCTTGATCATTCTTGATAACTGTCATGCCACCCTTCTTTGGCACACATTGGTCAGGACTCACCTACTTGCTGTCTGATATAGGATAGATAATGGCAGCCTCCAACGGTTTGATGATCTCCTTTTTCACAACTTCCTTAATTGTTGGATTCAACCTTCTATGTCCTTCAATGGTTGGTTTGGCACCATCTTGTAACAAAATTTTATGCATACAAATAGAAGGACTAATACCTTTGATGTCTGCAATGGACCATCTGATTGCTGCTTTGTGCATCCTCAGCAGTCTGATTAATTCCTCCTCCTATTCTTCTATGAGGGATAAAGAGATAATGACTGGTAGTATGTTGTTCTCTCCTAAGTATATATATTTCAGATGAGTTGGTCAGGCTTCAGCTCCAAAGTGGGTGGTTCATCAGTGGATGGTTTAGACATTTCCTCTCCTTGGACATGTCAAGTACTTCAGCAGGTTGCTGTTGAACAGGACACTTGGGCAAGTGATCAAGGTAACTTGTCCAAGTGACATCTTCATCTTTAACTTCTATTGGATATGCCTCCAGTTCTCCAAGTGTTAGTAACCTCAACAATTCATCTGATTCCACGTTGACTGCATAGGCTTCCTCTGTGGCCATCTCAATATCATCAATCTTGAAGCATTGTTGCTTCTCTGCAGGAAATTTCATATTATTAAAGATGTAGGTTACCTTCTCTTCTCCGAATTGTAGTGTGACAGCTCCCTTTCTAACTTCTATAATGGCATCACAGGTTGCCAGAAATGGTCTCCCAAGGATGACAGGCACATCCTTGTCCTCCTTCATATCCAGCACCACAAAATCAGCTGGATAAATGAACGATCCAAATTTCACCAGTATATCATGCAAGATGCCTTTTGAATAAGTGAATGATTGATCTGCCAGTTGGAGTGTGATGTTGGTAGGATTCAGCACATCATCAATTCCTAATGATCTGAATACTGATAGGGGCATCAGGTTGATACTTGCTCCTAAAGGAGGTGATATTCTGGAAGGTTGATTTGCTTTTGTCAGAACTATGATAGGGGTGTTCTGCTCCTCATGAGTAGTTTCCTCTGTCTTCTCTTCTTCTTCTACTTCTTGTGGCTCTACAACTTGGGTTTCCTTGGTCTTTTTGTTTGAACTTGCTGCAAGTGGCCTTGGTAGCTGCTTTTTGCACTTCAGTGTGATTGCCTTGGCTTGCTCTCGCTCCATCTCTTTAGGATTCTCCAAGGTATCACTGGGAAGTGTTCAGCTGGTCTGTCTGGTATTCTCCTTTCAAGTTGTGCTACCTGATTCTACATATCTTCTATAGTAGCATCAACACTAGCAAGAACATTACCTACCTTGATCCAGTCCTCCTCTTTGACTCAGAATGGTTGAGTTTGAAAACAAGAAGGTTGGGCTGGTCTTTGATAACTTGGCTGTTGGTTGCTCCAGTTGTTATTCTGTTGAGGTCTCCAGCTATTGTAGTTGTTGAAACCTCCTCTCTTGTTTCCTTGTCTCACGAACTGTACTTCTTCCGTTGTTGCTTGGCTTGTTGAGCTATTGTGAAGACCTGTACAGATCTCACAGACATCAGCCTTTGGTTTGTTGATGTCAGCTCGCAAACTTTGCTATCTCATTGGTGATGGCTGCCATCTGTGCTTGCAGGTGAGTTGGAGCATCGAGCTCCAGGATGCCTTCTTTCTTTGTTGTAGCTCTAGACTCTTTCTGCCATCTGAAATGATTGGTGCACATGTTCTCCAGTAGCTATATTGCTT